TCCACTTCATAATATTAGTAAGGTGCTATCTAGTCATTTAAACACTCTACATATGTTCAAACAGTTCTGCATGAATAGCTCTGTAGGATCTTTTTTAGACCAGCTACAGATGTGATGTCTCAATGAAAAATGTAGAGGAAAGGCTCACCTCTTAATGCACTTCAAATCGAGTGATTTGATTCAGAACTGCAAAAGTTATTGATGTTTGAAGATTCCAAAATCCTGTCTTCAAAGTCAAGGGCCAAATTTCAGGTATTGTTACACGTGAATTTTTGATGATTTTCAGTGTTTATTGTTGGTACATTAACCAGTATCTGTGTGTAAAATACAAAAAAATACTCGTCATGACGCCCCAACATCTAGGAACAAGGTGCATATTTTTTCAGATTTTTAGCTCTCTTCCTGTTGCCTCAGGACTTTTCTATGTCAGTAGTTTTCTTTACCGCCCGGTAAAGATGACATTTTGTGTAGTGTTTGAATACCCTAATTTGATTGAGCTTAGTGTCTCTTTTGAACTTAATTTCTTTTACTTATGCCAAACTTGCACGCAGGCAAGGGTTGGGAACAAGAGTTCGGCTGGGCACGTCCTCACAAGCCTTTTATACCTTTTGTTTACCAAGGAATCCTGCCAGACCCATAATGAAAAATGTGTGTGATGGTCTTGCACACAATGTGAACTTTTCTCCTCAAAAGTTACACATTGCTCCCTTAGTTAGACTCGTAGGCACGAATGATTACGTAGACTTCCCGCATGTACTCGTCCCTTTTTTTCCTATCCTTTTCTCTCACTGCTGATCGCTCTCATGGGGGAAAATACAAATCGAGCCCCAGCGCAATTTCGTAGCCGACGTGTTCTTTGCCTAACACCGTCGCAAGCCCATTCCCGGTGATTCATAAAACCACAAAGATTCCACCCGTATGTGTTGAACACGAACTAGCGCAGCGTTCTCAAATCTCGGTTGATCAGAGGTTTGCATCGTGGTCAAATACCTGAGATTATTCACTCGATACCAATTGAGGTGTAAACTGATATTCTACCACAATTTTACAGGTATTCACAGCGTTTTTTCGAATCCCCCACCATAACCTTTCCCCAACGAAAAGGAGGTTCGTGATGGTGGCAGTACCTGGCGATAGATGACTGATGGTCATTCAGAGTGAACATCCTAAGTAGTAAGCCATGTTGACCTCCTTAACTGCTGTGTAACAAGGAGGATCCCACAGCCTCCATAGTCTACATATCTATATCTTTCGATACCATCCTTCCAATTCGAACACGCTCCTTATAATCTTTTTCTGAGTAAAAATGAAACTCTTCACTATTTTCACTTTGATGACCTTATCGTTCATCCAAGTTTCTATTGCCTTGGAAAGTAAACCAATTCTTTCGCGTGACCTCAAACGTGAACGATTAAGAAGACACAACGAGCTTCAAACTCGTCAAATCAGTCGATATGCTGATCATCCTGATTGGTAAATCGTCCAAGCGTTCGGTTTTTGAACCCCAACCTAAAGAAGAAAATTTGATGGTTTTATAATTCTCCAGGTTCTATCTCAACCAACAAGAATGGTATGAACTTGATGCAACTCAACAAGATCATATGCGGTAAGAGATTCAACCTACCAATCTTTTCTCCTTCCATTCTCTTAATCTAATCGATGATTTTGATTGTTTTCTATTACATTCAGTTTCCATGCTTATTTAGCTATGTCAGTATATGGTGATTACATGAATACTTGCCCAAAGACATTTCTCAAAGGTTTCACTGTATTGCAAACTTTCGAGGGAGGTTATATTGCTCAAATTCCCGAGATGGTTAGATTTCTTTTACTTATACTTGAGTAATTGATTGATTTGTTGATCTTTGTTTGATTGTGTTCTTTTCAATTTGATTTGTTTGGTGGCTTTAGGTGAAGATTGTGATTGTCTTCAAAGGTACTGGGTAAGTGCATTTTGTGTTTTGCAATGGTATTGAAAACACAATTGTCCTGAATTTCTTCACTAATTCTGTTTTTTATATCGCGATGTTGCTTGATTGATTATCAGGGGATACGATATGTAAGTCGCAGGTCGAATCCCTTGAGATTGACTCTTGACTGATTCTAGTTTGAATTGACCGCATACAAACGAAAGTGATTGGACTCCCACAACGCGTTAGTCCTTACCCAAGTTTAATTCTTCTTGGACTTCATCATCGTATTGAAAAAACAAAATTTTATCATCTTTTTAAAGTCGAAGATTTAGTATCAAATTGTACTGATTGTCAAGTTGCAACAGCTATAAAACAACAGTATCTTCACGTCAAATCTATGACAAATGATTTTACAGTAGCTAAACAAGCTGTTGCTCGGACAGTCAGTTCGACCTATCATCTTGCATATCAGCTAAAACGTTGAAGTATTAATGAGTCTATTGGATGATTAGGGATTACACTTTTCCGTCACTGGTCATGGAACCGGAGGTTCAATTGCTGCACTTGCTGCTATGGATTTAGGAGCCCGCGATCTTGTGTAAGAACTTGGTCAGAATGAACTTCGACAACAACAATCAGAATAAAGTATTGATATATTTGAAACATGCTTTATTTTGAATTTATATGATTTTCGTATTTAGACATTACTCTCATAACTTTGGTATGCCCAGGACGTTCAATATGGCCGCTGTTGTTAGATATGACAATCTGTTTCAAGTCTTGTCTGGTCAAAGTGTTGTAGCCCGCAATGATTTCTCAGTTCATGTGAGTCCCGAGATACGCAGTAGCACCGAATGGTGATTGTTTAGATCATGGCTGAGGTTTTGATTTGACTTGTTTTTTTCTAGATTGTACCTCTTGGTCCTTTGGTTCACGTTGGATCAAAAGCTCACCTCACTGGTAACAAAACTCAATGGTTGAAGAATTGCTTTGGAGACAACGTTCGTGAACCTAATAATTTCTTCATCTTTGAATTATCGTCTCATCTCATGTTGAGTTCATCTAATTATCTGTTGTTTCGATTATATAGGAGGATCCAAAATGTTTAGGAGACCGAAGCAGTCAATCAGACCACAAATATTATTTTACTCACTTAGGACAATGCGGTAGTTCTGAGAAGGTAATTCATTTCATTCGCGTTCCTTGATTCTTTACAACAGAACGTACAGAGAACAACGTTTAACTGATGATCGATCATAGGGGTTCTAATTCTGAGGAACTCGAAAATCTAGAGTATTGAGCGAGGACCCAAAGGTTATCTTTTTTTACCTTTTTACATTTCGGATTTGAATAATTATCTTTTTGTTCTTGGAATCTCTTTTTCGGATCTCATCATGAAATCAAGTTTAAATATCCCTTTTTACCACACAACAAATTTTCACATATTTCTGTGAAATATTGGATAAGTACTTTCGACATCTAAAGACTCAATATGTAGACTCAAGTGCATTTGACAATACGCGCAAAAGCTAGACTTTTGCAGGAGATTGGTTTGTCAAGTGGTGTCAGACTGAGTTTTTTGTGAATATAAAACGCAAGCCGATCCTGGAGGCCGAGGGATTCACTCGAGAATTGCAGCGCAAAGGACAATAGAGATAAAAGACGGTATTCAATGTCTGGCCTGGCCCTACTGCGCCAACATGTGACTGTGCTTAAAAAGATGCGAGGCCGTCTTCAGGATGATACCCGAACGCATTTGAGACGATCAGGCCTTATCTTCACTGAGCCCGATCCCCATAGGTTAACAAAACATCCCCCCTCATCCACCATCAAGTTTGTATGGGATTTCAATTGATCTTGAATGATATGCAAAAAGGATTCCTAAAACAAAAAACCATGAATGATTTCTAAATAAATACAACCTAATTACAACCTGATCCCCAGATAGCCATCCATCCCAAAAAGAAAGGAGAAAAACAATCCGGAAAGTTTAAGAAATGGTTTTTTTTACAAAAGATACATTGCTTTAAAATTAAATTTTGATTTGAATCAATCAAATGCTATAATGAAATAATGAAAGAGAAAGCAAATTGGGATCAAAAAGGGTATGGAGAGAATGAAAGTATGAAGGTATTAGATAAAGCCTAAAAGGTGAAAAATTGGCGATTGCAATTTGAGATGAAGTAGATTTGTAATAACAAGAACACAGAGAAGGAGAGGTGACTGGTAGCTTATGAGAGTGTCAATGATCGTAACTGGTAGCATATGAGAGTGTCAATGATCGTAACTGGTAGCATATGAGAGTGTCAATGATCGAGACTTGTCATCATCATTAGATGATACTAAAGACTTGAGAAAACAAGAATCGAATCAGCGTCTCTCCTTTGTAAAGTTGTAAGTCAAAGATCAATTATTTCTGGAACCAACATACTTGAATAAATAATTATATAAAGAAAAAAGTTTGCATGAATTTTTCATGGTAAATTTGTACTATCAAATGGACCACTCTGTCTTGACCATGCTTCTGTAGGATTTATTTTTGATATTCTTGTTAAGTATTTGTAAATTGGCCAAACTAATGAAACACCAGTTGGATTTGGAAAAAAGTCAACAAGAGAGTCAATAATCAACATCATCTTGAAAAAGGCGATTTCTTGAAAAAGCCATTTACCTGCAAAAACATATGTCATAGTACATGTTAAAAAAATCACAAAACCTAATTCAAATTTTCAAGATTGAAAGTTTTCGATTTTTCATCAACAAAGGTTAGAACAAGACTTTATAGAGTCAAGAAAGAAAGAAAAGAAAAAACCGTGAATTAAATTCTCACCTAAATTTAACCAGCCACGATAGGAGTAGATAGTAAAACTAAGATCAGTTTCAATGATATATCTAGATGTACCACGTCTCGGGTAAGGTCTTTCATTTGCATGAAGTGCATCAGGTGTTGCAGGTAAGAAATCATCACAAAAGAAGGATAAACCACTACAGCCTAAATTATCTCGATTTGTGCTTTGATCTGTGATGATGCTTAATGAATTGATTTTGTTGAGTTTGTTTGATTTGAAGTCTTGGATACTTTTTTCTGATTTTAATGATGAAAATGTTGAGGATGATGAAATTGTTGATGTTGTTGATTTAATCATTGATCGAAGTTTGTTTTGGTTTACAAAGGTTCTATGATTTTTTTATGGTCAAGTAATGAAGCTTAATCTCTTGAAGTGGTGTTCTCATTTAATCATTCGATCAGTTCTATCTTATAACGCCAAACGAAGTGATTTGATATCTTGAAATCGGTTTATGTTTTGAGGACTCGTCACAGTTGCGGTGATTGTTTTTAATTTGGATCACTTCTTTCAATCTCAAGATCTCTCGCATCAACTTCGTCTCTCAACTTCTTTTGCAACTTTGAATTCAAAATGTGTACTTTATTCGAATTCAAGTGAACTTCTAGATTCGGTGGCTTTTTCAAACAATTGATACTGATACACATTCGATTTCGATTCAAATTACTTTGCAATTCAATTTTGAATCAGCAAGTTCAACTAAACTCAACAAGTCAAAGCAGGTCAAAGCGTGCGAGAAGCAGCGAGTTAACTTAACAAAGTCCCTCGTGCGGAGGTTTAACATACAGTCGTTCTCAGAAATGTTGGAAAAATGCAAAATCTCGAGCTGAGCTCGGGGTCCGTGCGCTGAGCAGGGACTGCAGGGACACGCAGATACAAACACTGACAAAAACTTTGATTTTGACAGGTATCTCAAGATGAAAATTCGTTTACTTTCCATCATACCTCGATGACCACACACCTATCTTGCCAATGGCCAGGCTAACGGACTGATCTCTTCAGAAAAACGGTGAAAACGTATGATTTCATGGTTAAGGGATTGTAACACGAGTTGAGGATCAGAGGAAGGATGGCATGGAGAGGACACAAGGGAGTTGAGGTTGGTGAAAGGGACACTGATCTCCACTCGACAGCTGCCATGACTTTTCCGTGACACATGTCATGAAAAAGTCACCTCCTTGGGACCACGACCTCAGCTCGAGATGTTGGATTTTTCCAACATTTCTGAGAACGACTGTAACAAGTGATGCCCGAGGCACGAGGGACTTACCGGAAAAGAGTGAATTTTGGCACGGAAGGTAGTGACTTTTAGTAGAGGAAATCTTGGATTTCCTCCTCATCAAATTCCCAATTGCCAAATTTTTTAAAAAGTGGTCAGGGAGAAGCGCCTGCTTCTTCCCAACAAATTGCTCTCTTCACAATCCTCTGAAAAAAATTGTGGGAGAAGTTTTCCTTGGGAGGGAAACATAGTCATTCATGATTTTCAACGGAGACTGCGGATTACACAAACTTGTATAAAAGTGTATGTAAAACCAAATTTGAATCCAGCTGTGGTGATAAATATGTATACGGTGTCCTTCAACTGATTGATGATAATCGTTGTATCTTTGATATTCATCGCCTCTTTAATCTGTTTTTAACTGGGAATCTCAAGCAATCAAGTACCTCTCAGCATCATCTGGAGTCATGAACCTTCGAAATCGGCACGGAGAGATGGCTCTCCCACCAAATCCCGTCGACGCGACAAGCGACTTGGCGATCACCAAACCACTCCTGCCTCCCCTTCTCGTCAACGGCACGTTGAGTTCGCAAAAGAAGACAGTTAAGGCCGCATTCAGTAAATCACTCAACGGCAGAGTAGCAAAAGATATACAAGTAGAAGGCATAGTTAGTCTTGTCAACGGGCTCAATACATTTGTCCTTGCTGCAACCGGTGTTGGAAAGTCATCTATCGCCCTTGGATTCTTGATGTTGTATCCTGTGAATATGCTACCAGTTATGATTGTAGTCAACCCTTTGGACGCCCTAGGTGATAATCAAGTTAGTTCAATTCATTGCAAAATCAATCCACTCCTATGTAAATGATCAAGACTGATCCGATTTGCTTTCAATGATCAATTCAGGTGCTTCAACTGCCTCCAGGGGTCACCGGAATTAACCTCACAAAGGTGACGGCTACAGATGACGATGTATGGGAGGAACTCGAGAAGCATTATTATAGAGTAATTTTCTTGGTATGTCTCCACTTTATTCATTTGATTTACTAATCTATGTATTCAGATGTTTCAAACAAAATGCTGATGAGTATTGAATGGAATTGGTATGACATTTGACATCTCTTGCCATTTGAAAATATCTTCAGAGCCCCGAGATGTTTTTGAATAGCAGGAAATTTGAAGCGTTGTACTATAGCACTGATTTTCAAAAACACCTAGTCCTAAAGGTAGTTGATGAGGCTCATGTAATCTATTCATGGGGTCTTGTGGAAAGTGGAATGACTCAAGGGCTTCAAAGCCATACCCAGCTTGATGATGTCTGTGAATTCAGACCAAACTACGGTAGTCTTGGCCGAGCCCTGACGGCAACTGACACCGTTCCCCTGCTACTACTTTCGGCCACCTGTCGACCAATCGCACTCGAGCGGATTTGGAACAGCCTGAAGCTGACCCCACAGAACAGGGTCATGATTCAAGGCGAGCTATGTCGACCTGAAATTCGACTCATCCGAATGTATCTTACTCGGCCTTTAAAGACTGCGGAGGACATAGCTCAACTCATTCCACATAACTCAGATATTCATGACTCCGACCTCCCTTCAACCATCATCTACTCCGGCCAGGTTGACTCGACCCTTGTAGTATCGCAGCAGGTCCATATAGCTCGAGGAAATCCCAATGGCGCGAACAATGGAAACAGCACCTGCTGTCAAATCTATCATGCATCAATAGGACCTGAGGATAAATTGACTCGCGCAGCTGAATATGCGAAGGGCACCTTTCGCATTATCTCGGCAACAACAGCTTTGGGACTTGGTCAGGATTGGCATGAGGTTGAGATGGTCATTGTCAATGGGGCGATGGATCCAGATGTCATGATCCAGATGGCAGGAAGGGGTGGACGAGGCAAGAAGGATAGCGTGGCGATCTTCCTGGTTGAGCCTCACCGAAGCAAAGGTCAAAACTCTCCTGAAGACTTTCCCGATAAACAAGCTGACCAGAGTGATGATGATCGAATGCACGCATTCAGAGTGACTCCGGTATGCCTTTGAGTAGCTCTCAACTGTGATACATTGTAGGTTTCAACTTTCCTTCCCAATATTTCTGCATGTTGCTGAATTAGTTGATCAAGCGATGATAGGAATGGGAGAATCCCTTTATCAGTAGACGATCCAGCCTTCATCAAGGAGAAGGCTCGGCAGGAATCAAAAGGCATGAAGGCATGTCGATGCTCAGTATGCGATCCTGCTGGTGCAATCCAGCTCATCAAAGCTTTGAAAACCACGGATCGTGATGGTTTTCAGAACCTTTTAAATCAACCCACCGCACCGATGACTATGCCCGAGACCAGCTTTCTAAATCAACGCAAAATTGCGCCCTTGCGAGCCAAAGATACATCGAGGATGCCTATTCCCTGCCTCATTGGCGATCCGATTCGAATCTCGTTACCGATGAAGAATTTAGCCGAGGAGTTGCTCCAATCTTTTCGAGGGGTTTTCAAAGCCTACTACCCCAACGGCTCAAATTTAAATCCACATCGGCTCTTTAGTGATGATCATGCTTGGCAAGTCGTAAAGAATCACAAAGCCATTCTTCAAGGCCAGTATCTCCGAGGGATCTTCGGAAGCGAGCCACTCCCTGGAACATGGACCTCAATCAAGGAAACCATCCAGAAATGGATGTTCTCTCCCAGCTACCAATTATACCTTGACTTAATTGCACAAGAAGAAGCTCGAAACGAAGCAGCCTTTGAAACAGCTGCGTCAATATTGGCGGCATACTATGAATCACAACAAGCTAAAGAGACGCTACGGGCAGAAAAGAAAGCCAAGAATGAAGAAAAACAAAAGAAGAGATTTGAGCAAGATGCATTGAAGCTTGCACGTGCAGCCGAAAAAAGGGAGAAATTACGTTTGAAGTTGCAAGGTGGTCATCAAGTGTGAACTTGTACATGTCAGTCAGTTTGCATTTAGTATCTTTATATCCGTTGTATTGACATAACTTGCTGCCATCAACCTCATCTACAACACTTATTCAGATTCTTTTTCTACTCCCAAGCCAAGTAAAGAGCCCCAGCCAAATCGACAAGGTCGGTTATCCCAGTCTTCTTTTTGCAATAATTCTTGAAAGTGTTCAATGCCTTGGTCCTCAATGTCGTCAAGTGGGTTCAGAATCGAAGTGTCACGCGGAGTTTTGATCAGCATAGGGTCTGCAAGATGATCGCGTGCCATGTGCATGAACTGGCCTAGAGAGTCTGGCTTAATTGGATGTTTGTTGTTCTGATATACATGTTCTAGACCTGATCTGAGGCAGAGTTGGTGAATCAAGCTTCGTAACTGTTTCAAATTGAAATTAATGACCACATTAGAATGCTTTAAAGATCCAGAAATAATACTTTCACATTTGGAAAAGCCTTACCAATGGAATGTTAAGAGAGAATCTTTCAATTAAGGTGTCTAGATCAGTGCCTCGACCCTGAGAAATTTTTGCGGCATTGCATGTTAGGAAAAACATTATAAGACAACAGATAAGATATCTCACCGAGTTATTGAAGAAATACTTGATCCAATAATTCTGGATCTCAAGATAAAAATCTTTAGCAACCCAGTGGCCTTCGCGGCCAGAAGAAGGAATTAATAAACAATGCTTGATCACTCTTGCAAACTTCTTTGGTAGATATACTTCCAATACCATCAAATACCTAGGGAGATGAATTGCATATGCGGAGAGTTTCTTGATGCCTTGGGCTAGGATAGCCCACCTTTTCCATATTGAAATAAGGCGTCCAATATCTCCAGCGCGCATAGCATTATCTGCCTCAACCACAGTGGAAAAGTCGCGTAATCTCAAGCGTAGGTTGTAGAGAGCATTGTCATTGGATTCTTTGGCCTTGATGATAGATTCTCCCGTAAAGTAGTTATCATATACTTCATCAATCAACGCTTGAGCAACACCTGGCTTTGCCAGATCAATTGAATCCTTTGACGAGATGTATTGCCTACAGGAAGAAATCAAATCACCCAATTAAATTTGACACTTGTTGAAGTTTACATAAAAATCACAATGACAAACTTTAGTAAGAAAGCCAGTGTTGCAGAATGGATCTTATGCACAGCTGCCATCAATAGTCCAAAATCTTTCTTGTCAAGCAATTTATCGGCCTTAATCCCCAAGCTTGTTGCCATTTGATGAACCCCTGGATCCTTTGCATCATCTTTATTACCCATATACACATCCACAATCCCACTAGTTATATTGCACAAAGTGTGAGATCCTGCAAGATTACGCATAAGATTTCTTAGGCTCTCTTCGGGATGCCCAGCTGGAAACCTTTTTCGTTCAGCAGCGTTGAAGTTCCGAACAGTTCCAAGATCACCTTCAACCGATTGTACATGTGAAGCAAAGTCTTTTGGATCCAAACCTAGCTGCTTGATAAGCTGTTGGAGAACCTGTCCAATACCTTTTGCAGAGTTGTCAGATGCAGTCATCAATTTTAGCATGTAGATTTCGGGATCATACATCTTGATGGGATCAACAGGTGGTGGTGATGAGATGAGATGAGATTTACAATAAGTGTATGCTTCTGAATTCTTGTCTAACACTAGGTCCAATAGGGCGTTTACTATTTGAGTTTTTCTTGCTAGCTTGATATGAATTTCCTCTTTGTCGGTGGGTAAGAAATGGTGTAAATTAATGGGTTCAGACTTGCTACGCTCCATTGCATCATAGAAAGTATCAAGGCTGAGATCTTCAGGAGTAATGTCCTCAAGTAAGTGTTCAGGTACAACATGCATATAACCCCAAGTGCCATGTAGTGTCTTCTTGTTCAAGTCTACATTACCATTGTGTACAGAAGATTCAATGTCAATATTATCCAAGCAAAGGAGAGGTCGAATCTTGTGCGTTCTAGCAGCTACGGTTCTGATTTTTTTTGCTGTAAGCTCTTTGAGAGTATCCAAAGCCTGATTGGCTGTTTCCCTAGAAACAGTGAGGCCCATGAAATGTAAAAAGCTACTGATTTTTTCTGTGACACCACAAGCAACAAAGGTCAGAGAATTTTGCAACTGCATTGCTGAATGTCTTCTGTTGCAAGCAAATGCTACCATGGAGCATATGATTGATGGAAGCTGTGTGAACAATTGTACAAAATGCGTTAACACATGGTATATTCAGCCCGACTTTAATTCTTTTGGAAAAGAACAGACCTTTTCCAATCTACTTTCTTCTATTCTTGGTAATGCGTTTGGAGACCTTACAAGGAAGGTATCCCCATCAAGTCCGCGATCAGGCCCATCAACAATACGCTCCTCGGTTAGGTGAGCCTCCTCTTCTTGTCTATTCAACCGTTTTTCCAATCTAGCGGGCGATCGAAGGTCCCGTACTTTGCTAGTGTGTTCTAGTTTGGCTTTGATTAGGCTATGTAGAAAATTCATGTTTTCTTTTACCAGCCCCATACGTATTCCTTCAGCGTTGTCGTCAAAAAAAGAGTGGGTAATGTTTTTTGAGTTGTAGTATAATTCACTCGGAGGTTGTCCTTTTGGAATATCCTCTCGAATAACAATCTCTTTAGACTGTCAATGTTTGAGGAATGAAAGAATGGTCAGTTCCAAAATTGTCCTTCTGAGGGACAACAGCCAAGTTTGAACTTACTTCATTGAGTATAAACTTGTTGGACCATCTCTCAATCCCACTGTCCTTGCTGGCCTTGACGAGATTCCCTATCGTCGTCAACAAGTCTTTTGTTGAGTGCCAGCCTTCCTCTGTAGCCCACTTCCCTCGACGCTCCTTCACAGCCGGCTTGTTGTTAGTGAGGAAGTGGAAAATAAACTTCTTTGGGCTCAGACCCAATCGTTTGATTTCATCACATATAGTGATGATTCGCTCGTGTATGGGAGGTAATTTGATTCGCTTCTTAGGATGTGGGTCGAGGTCGGGCATTATTTTGGTTTGGTCTCAGTCAGATTCCGACAAAATTTCTCCAGTTAGCATTCAAAATTTCCTTGAGAACTTGACGTTTCATCCTTCATCCAAGTTCCCCTTGAGGCCTCTATTGTTTGATCTACCCTCATGGCTTTAGCTCGAAATCCGAGCTACATACAAACACACGTGTAATAATTGCACAGCAAGTCAATTCTTGAGGACTATGTTTCCCTCCCAAGGAAAACTTCTCCCACAATTTTTTTCAGAGGATTGTGAAGAAGCAGGCGCTTCTCCCTGACCACTTTTTAAAAAATTTGGCAATTGGGAATTTGATGAGGAGGAAATCCAAGATTTCCTCTACTAAAAGTCACTACCTTCCGTGCCAAAATTCACTCTTTTCCGGTAAGTCCCTCGTGCCTCGGGCATCACTTGTTATGTTAAACCTCCGCACGAGGGACTTTGTTAAGTTAAAGCAGCGAGGAACTTTGTTAAGTTTAACAATCGGTCTAGCGAATTAAGTATGTGGTCGTTTTCTTCTTGTCATGTCTGCAGCCTACGGTGGCGCTAAGGTGCCACATCAGTCACCTGCTTAAAAAGAGCGAAAATCGATTACTCGCCCTGAAACGAAAGGTTTCAAAATCCCGCCGACCCTGGCCCGCCTCCTCAGCCCGCTATATACACATGTGGCTACCTAGGGCATTTGCTCAAAAAACTTTTTATCTTGAAGCCGACTGAAGTGGCATCTCGTGGTTTGTCAAATATTAAACTTTTGCAAATGTATACTTTTCACCCATCTGTAGACTTATTACTAACAGCGAAGTGTAACCCTACAGTGAAAATTTTCACCTCCCGACTATCTTTCCAAAAAAAACACCATCTCCGACCTCATCCTTCCGCCAAACAACGTCTATGCCCATTCCAACGATAGTCACCAAAGCGCACCGCCCTGTCATTGCGGCCTTGGTTCAGGAAGGTCTCACCAACCAGCAGATCCAACACGAACTATCAACTCACCATGATGTTCACTGTTTGCTCAGTACCATCGCACGTGCCCGCTCCAACTGGAACTTACAGATACGACCCAATGCTGAGACTCAAGACTTCAAGAATGATCTCATCACATTCTATCACGGTCAAGGTTTCGTGGCAGAGCATCTCATCGCAATCCTTGAAGAGCGACATGGATTCAGCATCTCACAGCGAACTCTGGCGCGACGCTGCAAGAGCCTTGGTCTACAACGCCGGAAAGACGATGTGGACCAAGGGCGTGTTACCTTAGATGACATTGCTAACTTGATTCAACATGCTAAGCAGCGCGCCGATGGCAAGCGAGCTGGATATCGTCGTGTTCATCACATTCTCCGGAACCAGTACCGTGTTTCTGTTCATCGGTCAGTGTTCTTTACCATTATCCTAACAAAATCTTTTGAAATCTTTTAGAAACACAAATTATCCGTACTTATAATCTACCTCTTTGGGCGCAGCAAAATTGTTGGTATCATGGTCAAACAGATGGACGCCGATGGTGTTGAGGCCCGTTTGCGCGCTTCCATCAAACGCCGCACCTTTCATGTCCCAGGTCCAAACCACGCGTGGTCTGCCGATGGACACGACAAGCTCAAGAAGTTCGGCATCACCATCTACGGCTTTGTTGATGCATGGTCTCGGCGTGTAATGGGCCTCTTTGTCCACATCACCAACAATAATCCGGCTCACATCGGCCTGTACTATCTTGAAATAGTCAAGCAAGCTGGAGGAATTCCACAAAAAACCGTAACCGACCATGGAACCGAGACTATCAACTTAGCCGCACATCAAATCGAATTGTCGTCGCAATTTGCCAACATTTCAAACAAGGAAGCTATTAGTCGTCACAAATACACCACCTCACCTCACAATCAAAAAGTCAAATGTTTATGGTCCCAGCTCATGATTCAGCACAACATTGCACTGATCGACATGATTTTCAATTCGATGGAGAGTGGCCAGTATGATCAAGACGACCCACTACAAAAGTGAGTCTCAAGCTAGAGTGAATTGACAATTTTCGTTTGTCTGACCAGATTTTTCAAACATAGGCTCCTCTTTTTGTACCTTTGGGTACCATTGGTTCAAGAGTCTTTGAACAACTGGATGGATGATTACAACTCGTATAGGAAGCGACTTGACAGGCGAACCGCACTCCCAACCGCCTGCGCGCCCAACTACTGCTACTACGCACCTGCCTCAGCAAATGGACTCGATGGCCTCGTTCCAGTCCCATCAGCTCATGTAGATAGGCTGCGCGCTCAATATTACCCCAATTCCAACGAACTCATGATGACGTCTCCGTTGTGGCTCAGTGAGTTCGTCACTGCAGCGCAAGATTCCCTGCATATTCTTCCAGCTGCTATCAATATGGAAACTGCGTGGCCTGCATTCCACAAGATTCTCGCATTCATGCGCGCATACGATGCAGCATTACTCGAGATTCCGGCAGATCAACCTCGAGCCCCAACCAACCACGAACAAGCCGTCATTGCGGTCCACACCCGATTTGGTCGACTTCCACGTTAGTTGAGATCTGTGTAACTAACTTCAATATATGGAAGTAGTCCATCTTTCCATTGATCAACGTTCAAAACCAAAAACAAACTAAAGTCTGTTGGGGCATTTATTTTCCACCTCGTGCCCTTTGCCACAACATGTTTAAATTTCTTGATTTTTGTAAACTTGGGTCCTTGTTAGTTCGATTTCCTCCTGATGTTTTAGCCTCCTGATTCAATCATCATTAATAGTATGATTGTAGACGTTCAGTGGATGCTAGCTCGCCTCCAGGGGATGTTAAACTTGTAATTCATATGTTGGTCCCTATGTTGGTCCACTACGGAATGCGAGACGTTCCAAAGTGACAATGCAAAATTTCAAAAATCAAAAATCACAATCCCCGGGTGCGAAATTCAAAAATCAAAGACAAAACTACAGAAAATACTCAAATACAGGGATAAAACCCCTGTACTGGGGTAAAAGTCATGGCAGAAACCCCTTTTTGCCCAAATTTCCAGTGGTCAACACTGTTTTCATTGCATTGTCACCTTTCGACAAAAAGTACCAGCAACACCAAAAATCAAAAAATCAAAAAACCAAAAACCAAAAACCAAAAACCAAAAACCAAAAAATACATTTCTCAAACTGTACAATTCAAACACCAATGTTGGATTCTACTGCAGCCAAAAACCACATGTTGTCCAACTAGCCACAAGCTCGGTCTCACAGGTATCAACACCTCCAATCGGAGACATTCTACCATCAGTCTCAAGAGCTTCAAAGTACCTGCTTCCTGTCTTGCTCTCCTCCAAAACCTCTTTCATCATCATCAATCCTCTTCGATTGTCCTCGATCTTCCTCAATCTTCTTATTTCTTTGTCAACTGTCCTCAATCTTCCTTAATCTCTGTCAACCGTCCTTGATCTTCCTCAATATCTGTCAACTGTCCTGGATCTTCTTCTTTCTTCGTCAACCGTCCTTGAACTTCTTCTTTCTTCATCAACCGTCCTCAATCTTCTTATTTCTTTGTCAACTGTCCTTGATCTTCCTCAATCTTTGTCAACCGTCCTTGATCTTCTTTGACCGTCCTCAATCTTCTGCAATCCTCATCAAATCACCTTCTGTCTCCATCACCAACTACACACCAACATGCCAGCAAAAATATCTGATGAATGAGTCTGTTTCAATTTTTTTTTCATTAACAAAAGGAAAAAAAACAGTTGGGATGATGATTATCTCAACCAAAAAAATTTCAAACACATCTTACTCAAACCGATCCATAATATAATTTTTTTTTCATTAACAAAAGAATACATAAATTGAGTATATTACCAAAATATACTACCAAACAATGCTTTCAATCATATTTTGATGCAACTCTTCCAGTATATATTTATTTCTTTAACAATAGGCAGACAATTGTTTCAATATGTAGTTTTTTTTTGTTAACAAAAGCCAAAAATATTGGACAAACCTTTCAAACATGTTGTAATTGAAATGTTGCAATATATATTTTATATATGTATATCAATACATATATAAAAATGGATGAGTAATTAAACCAAATATTCCTTTCAAACAAATTCACCACCAACATATTTACCTCGGATTACAAAATCCAAGGTATCCTCGGATGCAAAACCTCAGACAGAAGCTTCCCGAGGTTTTGATCCGAGGTAATTCTCAGGGCAAAGAAATACCTTGGGCAAAAACCTCGGACAAGGTCTGTCCAAGGATTTGCCTCCGATGATGCCTCGGATTTCTCAACCCAAGGCATCTATGCTGGCAGTGATTGTACCAATGCGTTTCAATGTACATATTCATGATATTTTGATTTTAACGGTAAAAAAAATTCATTTCCCTATAAAACTATAAGTTTCATCTTATTTAATTCTGAAAAGAAAATCCATCTTATTTAATTCCAAAAAGAAAAATTTTTTGAATCAGATATAAAAATTTAATTTTTTTTATTTGAATTATAATTTTGAAAACAAAATTAAGAAAAAAAAATATGCGGATGTTCCAGCCAGAAAGGCCACCTACCTGAGCTGCTAGGTGGTCTGGCTGGAACATCCAGGCCACCTAGCTAGGTGGCCTTACCTTAAAAGTAAGGCGGCCACCTAGGAATTCCATCGCACTATCACTCAGTGATACTCGGCCCTGGATTCCTCCATTGCATGAGCGGTGGGTGCTGATACAAGGGGCCACCTAATTCCTAGGTGGCCTTACTTTTAAGGTAAGGCCACCTAGGAATTAGGTGGCCGTGCCATCGCACTATCACTCAGTGATAGTGCGATGGCATTGCGGATCGGTCCAGGGCCAAGCTGCGGCCTTGGCCCTGCATTCCTCCATTGCACGATCACTGAGTGATTGTGCAATGGAGGGGCCACCTAATTCCTAGGTGGCCTTACTTTTAAGGTAAGGCCACCTAGGAATTGGGTGGCCCATTCGATTGATCAGTAAGGCCACCTCATTTCCAGGTGGCCTTACCTTGGAGAAGGTTGGGCCGGGGCCTAAGACAGTCTAGGCCCTGGTAACTACATGTCAACTATGATTGGTTCTTGAGTAATGAACCTTTCCGTGGTACAATCTCTGTGTGAACCATATGCTGACATGTGAGATATGTAAACATATCAAGTGTAAGGTGTAAGGCTACATTTGTATACATTGTGTAATGGCTGACCACAACTCAGCCACCATTTGAGTGGAAGCATTTAACCAGTCCTTTGTTATTTGATTCTTCTGATCTTATTATTCTTGAAATCTGTTCTGTCCGCTTTCTTCAATTTGTTGAATCAACCAAGGTAATCCATGTTCTTCCTTTGTCTTCCCATTTGTTCCTGACTTCACCAAGATCAATACAGAACATATAAGAAGAAATATTATATCCTCAAGAAGAAATAGAACCTTGAAGAATCCACAAGAAGCCGATAATAATTGAATGTAGATTAATAAATCAATCAATATTTCTCAAACATCTGTTCCATTCATTGCAAAAGAAGACTCATATAATTCAAAACATTTACCACTCATGATTCACTCACAAACAATTATTGAAGACGGAAGTACTTGAGATACATGCAGAGATGTTTATGTCTCGTGAAGGGCAGGGCAAGTGACTGAGGGGACCCCCAACTACCAGCCTAACCCTTTGCTAAATGTATCTCAGAGCTTCCTGATTTCAATCCTCAAGAAATTACTTTATCAATCATTCCTTCAAACAATTATTCATTAATGCAAATTCACTTATTTCAAAAGATTTACAGCTCAAGGTTATTCACATTGACTCATGGAAGACGGAAGTACTTGAGATACATGCAGAGATGTTTATGTCTCGTGAAGGGCAGGGCAAGTGACCGAGGGGACCCCCAACTACCAGCCTAACCCTTTGCTAAATGTATCTTGGTGCTTCCTGATTTCAATCCTCAAGAAATTACTTTATCAATCATTTCTTCAAACAATTATTCATAAATTTATATATTCATGTCATTCATACTCAATCATTCAATCCATCAAATATTTAATCACTCATTGTTTATTCACTTTATTCATTATTTCATTGCATCCCCACACAAATTAAGAAATCTTGATTTTTTGATGAGCATTCCACTAATCAAAACAATGTTTTTTTTACGTAGATGCCAAAACCAGTATCAGACCTCAGAAAGCAAAAGCTTGCGGAGTGCCAAAAGAGGAAGAAGGCTCAACAACACAATGCCAAACAGGATCCAGTCCAGGATGTTCAAAGAGAATGTGTCAGTCAAAGAATTAAAGCAGGAATCAAAGACCGGTTTGGCTTGCCAGAGGACTGTGATGTTTTCCAAGTTCCTCAATTTGGGAACGCAAAAGAGCAAGTGGTTACCTATGGAACTGTTCTACTTGTGAATCTGGCTGGAAATAAGCTTATATGTGTTGCTAGGTTCAACAAAGTGGTCAAGTCCCTCAAGCTTTATGTTGTATTCACATGGCTGACAATTCTTGCTGCAGGACCCCGCCAGCATTGACCCTGCAGAAGTGAAACTTTGGAAAGACTTTTGAAGGGCTATCAAGATCATGCAGCAACACTCTGAAGCCCTGCATGTAATCAAGCAAAATCATGCAGTCAAGATGGTACCGCCCAACAAGCCGCAAGGTACTATGAGAGCATTTGGTCACAGATCATCTGAGCGTGCTGGACAAGATCAAAGCGGAACAGTCATTGGTTTGTTTACCTTCACCTTTTCACATGAGGATCTTTCCAGAAACTTAATTTGTTCCATGTTTTACCACCCGCAACCTATGCCAAAAATTCAGCTACCAGCGAGGATCCAGCCAAACTAGACAAGGATGAAGCCCGCCAAGATGAACGTCCTTGGGTGGTGGACGTTCATGATGAAAGGACTTATTCTTTATCTCTATTTGTGTATGATTCCAGCAAGAAACTGGCAGACGAGACTGATGCCCCATGTGTTTAAGATGATAATTTTGTGAGCAAAGTATTTTTGTAATTTTTTGGAATTTTTAAGAGCAACAAATTTTGGAATACAAGTTGAAATGAAAGAATTTACTCCTCATTTTACACCATGTGCTGATCTCTTGCTGGAATGTGAGTTTGTTCCCCAGATTTACCTCCATACAACAGCTCCATCTCCTCCCATATACTTAATTGTGCTATTTTTGGGCAGAGCAACCCAAAGTGCTTGCATATCCTATTGCATTTGCGCTGGTATAGAAATTCTCCAAGCCTTTCCTTCCAGTGTTTCCATCGCACCAAGCCATACTGGGTTATGGGTGAAACAAACAGTCAGGCAAACATTTTGCATACAAGCACCAATCTACTTACTTGCTTGGATCCACAATCAAAAGGTCTGTCAATACCAAACCCACCCCCTGAAGATCCGCAACCATTCTTCTTACGTTATAGTGTTTATGATACCAATGACTGAGAGCTTGCATTAAATCATTGACAAAAGGACTTTCAGAACCCGGAGTTCAAAGTTGTGATTGCTGGTATACTTGCAGTATTGTGTAACATCAAGTACTTCTTCAAA